AGGAAAGATTCATATTGTAATGCAAGTAATATTTGTAGCAAAGGCTTTATTTAACCAATTTTTACTTAAGTCTTGCTGCATTGCAACCTAATTACTAGCTCTGTAATTATAGGCTTTAAAACAAACCCCAGCAAACACTTACACAAACCAGATCAATTCATGTTTCATTTCTGCAGTTTGCTGAGGATTACCAAATAAAATTTACTGCTTTCTCTCCCACTTCCACCAGGTAACATGGGCTGATTTCTACTGGGATGTGTGCAGTACGACACTTCTGTCCTGTAAACCTGACCTGGCAGACAACTACCCCAGGCTTTTGTCTCTCAGAGACAGAGTGCAAGCGCTTCCAGCTATTGCAGCCTGGATCCAGAAAAGACCAAAGACTATAATGTAGATCAGCTGTTCATACTGAAAAAAACAAATGCATGTTTAGTTTTCAACATGACAAGCACCCTAAGTTATTAATTTTAGAATCATTTAAATTCATTTCAGATGGGTATGTTATACCAAAATCTAACACTTGTATCCATTTATAGGAGAGAATATAAAACCTGATTTAGCAGAGTAGAGCCTGAGGGGACATGTGGTTTCAACCACATTCCTCCCCACTACTAATAAAGTGCTTGATGAACCCAATTAATGCTATGTTCTGTGGGGTCTCAAAGGGAGAAGACATGAACAAACCTTCCTGGAGAGATGCAATCTCAACAATACTTTATTTATTGCAGACTTTTCAATCTGGAGGAAAACAGGCTAATTAACAGAGAGGGTAAATGTGTGGGAGGACTAAGGACACTAAGCAAAAAAGAAAGGAAAAATGGACCCACTTAAGTCAACAAATTTCAAGCTTCTCAAGCACTTTCTTTAGACTCTTGAAGTTCATGCTGTGCCATTGCAATAGAAAAACCCAAACAAAACCCCAAAAACAGCCAACAACCAAACCTAACCAAAAAGCAACACTAGTTCTCCATAAACATACCAGCTGCAAAAATATTCAGCAGCTCAGTGTCTCTTCCAGTAAGCAGGAGACACAAACTGGGGGGTGATGGTGGCAGGGATGGAAACCAGGTTTAGAACAAATGAACGAACAGTTTGTTCTTCTGGCACCGGCGAAAACAGGTAAGTGGAAATCCTGGCAACGTGGACAGTTGTAGATGCAAGCGATTTACACAAACTCATGGGGAGACAAGTGCTTGCAAGAGGGCTCCACCGCGTGGTGTAAGCAGATAAACCACAACACACTTGGCCAATCCTCCGGGCTGAAAATGACCACTGTTGAGAAAGTGTTTTCCTTTACACTTGCTTTTCCCTTCTACCATAAGAATTATTATTTCATCGAATCACATGAGTGACACCAACCAACCACTAACATTTGGGAGACAACCCAGGTATTGGCAGAACTGAGAGCAAGGTCCAATCCTTTGCTGGTTCCAGTATGGTGTCGCCACCTGCTTTGCAATTCCTTGCATGCTTTGTTCTCGCTCTTCATAGATCTTTCCTTCTTCAGCTCCCACTCTCGTTTTCAGCAACAGATTTCAGATAGTTGTACTTCCTGCCTCCCCCGTACATCTTTTACAATAAGACACAATTACAGAATGGTTGAGGATGAAGGGACCTCTGGAGGTCATCTGGTCCAAACCCCCTTCTCAAGCAGGGCCACCAAGACTGAGTATCTCCAAGGATGGTGACTCCACAATCTCTTAAGACCCCCAATTAAAGAGGGTAAAAACATTTAAACAAAAAAAAAAGGCAGAAACACATGAGCTTCACAGCACTTAAAACAAGACATTGGCCACAGGGGTCTAGGGATGTGACTATTCAAGAAGTAACCACTGCTCAGCCAGACTACGTGAACTGATGACCTACGCATACCAAACCGAAACACCACACAAACCACCCTAGAGGGCAGGCATTTTGTTTCATTTCACAACTGAAGCAAGCAGGCGAGAACATGCAAATACAATGGGATATGAGTTGGGTTAGGATCATGCTCAACAGAAACAGACAACCTAATTAATTGCAGCATTAAACACTCGCGGTTGGCTGTTAAATCCCGCTATTTAGTCCCTCCAAAACAGGAGGGATTAAAGAAGCACACTAGAGAAACTGAGTCTTACCCTTCTCCCTTCCCATATAATAATGCATTTCTTCACCCTATTTCAGTTGTGCATTTTGGAACACAGCACAGCCACAGAAGATTTCTAGTAAAAGTGAAGTAAAGTTTAGTTCAAACTTCGAAAACATTTTAAAAGCTTTCATTTTCTATCCATTTTGTACCCGCAGAAGTCACACACAGTTGGAAAACACACCCATAGCCATAACCAACCAGATGCCCAGCTCACAGACCACCTCACTGACTAATCCCTAGAAGTATCTGAAGACAGACTGAAATACTGAGCAACCATGGACTCCAGCTCCTCTTCCCTACTCTTCATATAAAACTGTTCAAGTTCTTTCAAAAGAAGATGCAACAAGTGTCTTCTGACTGTGACAACCACATATAGTTAGATACCACTTTTCTATCAACCCCATATTGCAAACCAGAGTGAAGTCTAGGGCGCAATCTTCCGAGAGATTCAGCCTGGTACAGTTTTGCTGAGCTCTGCACAGAGCATATAGCAGCTGAGGCTTTAAGAGAGGGCAGGGGCAATAAGGACTTCTCCATACTTCACCTTCCCCCAGCTTCTAAAAAATCAGCCATCTGAATCTTAACTGCTCTGAGTTCAAAAGACCGAATTTCAGTCCCTTCCTCTGTCCAGGAAAATGGACATTCTCCTTTCCTACCTCCTCAGATCACCTCCTTGGCAGCAGAATACAAACTTCAGGTGGAGGCACACCTCACCCTTAGTATCACTGAAGCTCTTCATTTCACAGAGATTAAAAATTCATTGAAACTTCAAGAAGGGAGCAAGACATAAGCTTTGTGTTTAGGGCACTTCACTGGTGGAGCACAGATCTGGTATCTACAACAAGGACTGACAGAAAAATTGCAACCTGGGTGGAAAGTTCCATTTGGCAGGAGTTCTGTTTTTATCATCAATAGCCTAACACAACTGTGATTAGAGTGTTACAAAATACCAGTAATTAACTACTGCTGGATAAAGTCCTGTCAGTTAAAATGGAACATTTCAGCTAGTTTGAAAGGTGCCTATTTGATTTCTAACACACAAGTTAGCACCCACCCCCCCGCCCCCAACAACGTCATAATGAAAACATTTTGTTAATCTATGGAATTTTATTTGACCAAGTTGATACAAAACCAGTACAGAACATCAAATGAACCAAAACAAGCAGAAACACACTTGAGCATTGTCAAATAAGGCACATGTAAAAAAAAATCTACACGCATAGTTCAGTGAAACAGACAGTTTTTATATATATATATATTTGGAGGTAGAAATAATTACAAAAATACTGACAAATTTTAAGCAGTAGCAGATTTATTAAAACAATTACTACTTAGGTCCCCATTTTGAAAAGTGATCTGTAAAATAATGTTTATTCAGCATCTGATGTTTGCACATTTGGGCTGTTTATGTTTTTAAGCATTGAAAGAACGCTATCGGTGTTAAAAACTTCCAATACCATGAGGAATACAATAAAGAAACTACGAAAAGTTATAAATGTTCAGAAAACTCATCAGTAATGTAAGAGTCCTTGGGGTACGACATCACCTTTCTTCCTTGAATTCCACAATGTATTTACATTTTAGAGACCTAACGAAGCTTTTAATAGTGTGGCTATATCTGTCGGAATGGTTCCTCCTTCTCCTGAGGAATAAAAACAAGCATTAGTACAGCTCAAAATATTTCACATAAACAGACAAAAGTCTAGATCCCCAAAACTGTACAAAATCCTCTACTTGTAGGAGTCTGTCATTGATTTGTTGGTCAGACTCAGAGGGTACTTCCTGTCAAACCAAACAATAACCAGCACAAATACATCTTTCTAGTTCATTTAACATGAAAAAAAAGGCTTGCCTGCATCAAGAACCTTGTTTTTTTCAGAATAATATATTGCAGCAACCTTAATTCACTTAAGTGGACATTATTATGTGCAAGAGACTTACCTGAATCTGCTGCAGTCATATCTTGTTCTAACTTCAATTTCTGCTGGCTGATTTTGAGCATGGATTCTTCAATAGTCTCCTTACTGATTAGCTTTATGACTTTTACTTCTCTGAAAACCACAAAATAGGATAAATCCATTTTTACAGTTTCTTTGGATCAGTGCAAAACGGAAGGATGCTCAGCTAGCAGTGGTTTCCAATAAGAAGGAGGAAATGAACAAGAGGGCAATACAAAGAGCTTCTAGTTTTTCCGTCTGGACCAACTGTGCTCTATACTGCCAGAAAACTTGTTTTCTCCCGCACCTCCAGCCACTGCAAAGTCTGGACCGTCACAAAAATCTGTTAATAGAAACGACTCTGCTTCCCCCCCATCCCATACTACAGTTGAAATACCAGTTATTAAACATGTTCTATTGCTCACATTAGCTTATTCTGACGGAGGACTCTGAAACAGTCCACGGTTTCACTCTTTATGATATTGTAGCCCTTTAGAGCTTAGAAGTCTCCTGAAGAGAACAAACAGCTTTGCCAAACAGTCCCAAAGACTTCAGATCTGCCTTGAAATAGTTCCTAGTACCAGAGATTTGAGAATTACAGACAATTGAGAGTTATAGAGAACTGGGAAAAGAGGACAACGTAAATAAGGTTTGTTCTGGCAGCAACAGGTGCCAAGACAATTACAACTACCTATCTCCCACAAAACCCAGAGCTGGTTTACTCACGCCTCTGCTTAAAACGGAATTTTTAATAATAAAATATTGTCTTTTTAGCTTCCTTTGAGAGCTTGCCTCTAGAAAGAGCCAAGCATTATAACTAAAAAGTCTTACCTTGTCTGACCTACTCTATGGCATCGGTCTTCTGCTTGCTTATCATTGTATGGGTTGCAGTCAATGTCATGAAGAATAACAACATTTGCTGAGGTCAGATTAATTCCCAAGCCCCCGGCTTTGGTCGACAGGAGGAATACAAATATATCCATATCTGTATTGAACTGATCAATTAGATGTATCCTGCAGAACATAAGAAAACACACATCAGGCCTTGGAGAAAACACCACACTGGCTCCAGAGTTGCATACAGAAGTTCAGATGATGACCTTTTGAAAAGGAAAGCAGTGGCATTGCAAAGCAGCTCAAAAGCACAGATGTTATGCAGAACGAAAAGGGTACTTAACAGTCCACAGCAGCAACCAGAGCAACATGCTAAGAGTGACAGATTGACAGCAAAGAATGAAAAGAGGTTTGGAAAAAGATTTTGGATGAGCACAGAATACAAAGAGCAAGTTGGAGGACAAGGGAAGACTGAAGTACATGAAATAAATGGAGGGGGGACAGAGGAATTTAGCTTCATGGCTGTCTTCTGTAATAACTGCACATAAAAGGGAAGTAACAGACTTCAGCTCTAAGTAGAAGGTAACATCACAGCAAGAATGACAGTTTTTTGAAACAAAGAAAAGAGCATCTAAAAACAAATTTTAAAAAACGCCATGAAACAGGAAACAGTAGAAAACCAGTACAGCTCAAATACTAGGAAGGCATTTGCAGCATTTTCAGCTGCAAAAGACACAAAGGGGTTTATCTGCCTGTTGTAACAGAGTTATACTATACTTCCAAGGAGTATCTACAGGTGAGCTTTTGTTACGGCACGCTGACACACAAGCAAATCAAACACACCATGAACTGCTGAAGACACAAGTTTTCCATTCGAATGGCTAAGACTGTAACCTGAGCATCTAAAACTCACCTGTCAGCCTCATCCTTACTAAGACAATCTGAAATCCAACATTAAACCCTCTATAGTCAATGCTCAGTGACAACAGAATTATATACACTGGAAAACAAAGGTGAGGGTTTTAAGCGACCTCCCCCCTCCATGCACACATACATTTCTTTTCTCTCATCTTCAGCAGAAGTCACATACCGATCAGAAATCTGTGTTGTTCCATCCAGTCTAATATATCTATGTTGCCAATGTTTTAGGAAAACTTCCAAGATATCCAACATCATGGTAAACTGGCTAAACAATACAACTCTGTCACCCTGGAAATGACAAAGCAAAACAAAAGTTTTAAAACATTCGAGTTACGGATAACGAACTACACAAATACTTCATTACTGCAAAAAACATGATTTTACTTTGACTGAATCCCTATTTTCCAAACTAAAAGTCTAAGCCGAAATTCCTCAAGTCAGGACTGACTTTCAGCAAAGATATTGTACCCAGTATTTCTGCTGCATCAACCCACCTTTTGTCAGTGCAATAACTTTTTAGTTACTTTGTACTTAGGTGACTCAAGCAATCTAGAAATCATGCGTCAAATCTATAAATGTCAGACCTACTCCATCTACAAATGTCAACAAAATATTTTCATTAAAAATTTAAGCTATATTCTCTATAGTACAGACCAGTAGAAGTCTTGTCTGAAACAAACAGATGCCCAGCACACACTTGTGCAAATTCAGGATACTCTGAAGTATGATGACACATGCTTATTTGTAAAATAAGCCAGTTCAAATCTATGACTCAAAACAATGACCTCCTCTTACCTTTCCCCCAGCTTAACACATACATGATCATTCTAATTTAATACAGTCTTATTCAATTGCCAAAAGAAGGTCGGAGTTCATGAACTGTGAAAATTACGCTAGCCCTCCGTACATTGAGATAGTGTTAACTCGGGATGAACGCTCTGAAACTTGGAAAAATGGGAAAGCTTATGTCAGCCGTCTCTGAAGTGACATGCATAGGCAGGGCTGCATGTTAAAAGCTGTAAGCATTGCTTTGCAATACTGCACATGCACTAAATCACAGTGTGGTACTCCACAGAAAAGCAACTGGGTTGCACATACAGCTAGCAGATGTTAATTTAACCAGTTACTTAGTGCCAGCCTTCAGATGGGACAGGAAAAGATGTTTCAGCCATCTGTAGTACCAACCTTCTCTTTAAGGTCGGAGAGAATGCGTTCCAGTGCTCTAAACTTTCCAGAATCCAAGATCTGATCCATGTCTAACTTGAAGTCACTGACGTGAGAATATTGTTTACAAAGCAAATGCAGCTCAAAATCTGTCATTACTGTCATATCTTCAAAGATAAGGTCAGGGTTAGCATCACGATGTGTGGGTTCCTGTTAGCAAAAGTGAAGGGAAATAATGCAATACACAATCCTGCCAGACAGACAAGAAAAAACAAAACCACCACACAACAGCATCCAAAATTTCTAAAAGAACAAAGTGGCACAACTAGACATGGACAAATGCCAGAGCGTGGCTCATGCAAGCAACAAAAGATGAACTCTGCAACCCCAGGTTTATAACAGAGGTTCATTACTTTGCAATTTAGCTTTCACAAGAACTTGTACTACCAAAAACTAAGAATTAGATGCTCAACCTCCATAGCAGTTACCTAGTTCCCATCAAGCCCTATGACCTTTTACCCCTGTATCAGACCTCTTCCCCTGAAGACACATTCCCTAAAAGGGAGGTCCAATCCTTGGATAGATGGTAGAAGACATGGGAAGCCTAGCCCAAGATGTAGGGTGGGTAGAGGGATGTCATGCCTGGAAGAAAGAGGAAAAGAAAAGCCACATCTGGAGAGTACAATGGTATGAGTAGGAATAAAAAGGGACAAAACCCCTTCATAAACCAATGGGTCACTTCTTCCCTTCCCCCAAACCTTCACTGGCTTTATTGCAAAACAAAGCTGAAGGCATTCAAAGCCAGATGCAACTTTCTTAGAGCAGCTGGTGCACATTCAGACTTTTTTCATACCTTAGAAAGAAGCAACAATTTTCCCCAAACTCCACAGGCATTAACCCCAGCCAAATTATAAAAAACGGTTCATTACTTAAGTCTTCCCTATTCTAGTTCTGCACAGCCCAGATTCCTTGCTACTCAGAAAATACTAGTAAATTCAAGTGCCCACCCGAGATATTTTTTCATAAGTACTTTGGTTTTCAATTTTGGGGTTGAGGGAAGAGGTGTTAATGGGGAGCTAATGAAAAGGAGATGACTGCAGTCTCACAGCTGTTCTCTCCATTCTAGTATCTGATACAAAAATCAGTGTTAAACACATAGGAAGCTTGATTAGAGCATTGGATAGATGCAGAGAAATAAAAAGCAGCAACAATGAATTAAGTTTTGCAAAGACACAGTTGTGACCAAAAGACTGACAATAAAAAAAAAATCTGTTTAAGTTGCATTAAAAATTCTGAGAAATTAAGGATTGCTTCTGAATCTCATCACCTTACCTTGAGCATAAGCATGGACATTGTCCTGAGCTTGTCAGTTGTGTAATACTGGCGATGCAAGAGAGGGTGATTAGCCATTTTTCTAAGTTGCATCATGACATTTCCCATATCAGAGTTTTTCTCTGTAAACAAAGAAATAGGGTATATTCAGAAGTAGTACGTAGATGCCTATCTGACACACATTTATCTCTTAGGAGAGCTTTACTTCCGAGAACCTAATTTGACATTTCATCTATTACCTGAACTTAGGAAAAATTCATAAAAGCGATATAGTCAGTTTATGAGTATTAGGCATTTCTACAAAGCAAGGGCTTTGTAGTCACATTTGACATATGTCTGGGCATGAAAAAAAAAAAACAGCAAAAGGAAAAATACCCTCACATACCAGTACTGTTAATAGTTTTCTTGAACTTGTTTAAGAGATCACAGTATAGTTGCTCCTGTTTCTCAGACATGGCACATAATTCAATGAGATCTTTTTTGGGAGGTAGTTGTTTAAGCACCTGACAAAACAAAAATGTACCAGGTAAAAACTGTACTATAGCGAACAGTCAGCAATTCTGTACTATCTTACTTCGCTGAGTCAGCAGTTCGACTTATTCAGAACTTGATTTGGATTATCCATCACCCCCCCCATCAAAAAACATGGTCTGCACACTCCTAAACTGCACAAAATAATAATAGATGCAATACCTGGAACCTACTCTCCTGCTAATCAGAGATAACCTCTTCAAGCCACTGACCACTATAGTACACAGAAACACTTTTCTGATCACTGTTAAGTTTTCCCTTTGTTTTATACATGCAACTCTAAATACAAAAATTTAAATAGGTTTTGGATTTTAGAATGATAATTTTGATGATAGCAAAATAACTTATAGGCACATTTCCAGTCATACGTATACACGAATACATACACTCACATTCACTGCCTTAATCTTTTCAGTTAAAATAAAACATCATTACTATAAAGTCACAAATATTTTTTGTGGTTAATGTGGAGGATTTCTCACTTTTCATTGCTTAGCAGTGCACCGAATCATCTTTCGGTGATCTTTCCTAACTAAAATTCCCAACTGTAAATAGTTAGCAAATAATAAGCATCAAAACCCAAAGCTGCAGCAGGTCACATTTTTACTTGCTAACCCCTGAAAGATGAAAGACAGCTCAAGTTTCTTGCTCTTCCTAGGTAAACAGCTAAACTAGCACTGTCAAAATTTGACCTTAAAGTTTACTGTTAGTCTCAAGGATTATCAGGCTTTCTGATAACATGAAATCGTTATTTTAAAGACAAAACATTACCTCATCTTTTACTCTTCTCATGATGAATGGTTTTATTATTTGCTTTGCATGTGCAATCCTCTCCTTTTCATATATGCTTTGTTCTTCAGCACGCTTCTAAGGAAAACATTGCAAGAATTCAATTACAGTGTGAAGTTTTCAGCTGAAACAACGCTGCCTTAACAATTCTAACTTGATGAAAAACGCAGCCAGAACAGGCAGATCTAACAGGACCATTAGTATTCTGAGATAGCCTATTATGACTTGCTTACTTTAAATGGGTTTTTTTTCATAGTTTCATTTTCTAGATTTTCATAATCACGTTACCTGTTTCCGTAAGATACAAATAAAAGAGAAGTTACGCAGCAACTGCAAAAAAGTTATTTTCAGGAAGAGACTATATAATACTTACTGTTTTTGAAGAGAACATCCTTCGGATTTCTCTTGTGCTACTGCTGAACATATGTGGCATGACAAAATTCAAGAGAGACATCAATTCCAAAAGATTGTTTTGAACCGGAGTCCCTGTCAGCAGTAAGCGATTCTTTGCCTGTTTGTCCAAAGTGGAAGAGAGCAGCAAGAAACACATTAGTCAAATAGGTTAAAAATTAATATTGGCAGACAAAACACAGCTATAGAGAACTGAGAAAATGAACTTAGTTTAAATTGTAACTTCTAATCTTAATATGTATTTAGATCTCATGGAATAATTTCCTGGTTAAGTCAACAAAACCGTTTACAGATCTGTGGGGAACTGAGCACATACCAGTTCAAGACTATTCAAGAATCCAAATCCAGATGTAAGCAAAGCCGTCCTGCTCTGTTAGGGGTTTTCTTGTTTGTTTTTGGTTTTGTTTTGTTTGTTGGGTTTAAATTAACGTGCTAATTGTTGCTCCCATACCTTATCTTTTGTAGTGTCATACAGTACTTATGCACAGTTTGGAATTCAAAATATTAACTGCTTAAAGATCAGCTTCTTAAAAAGGCTTTTGATGAAAACATGATCTTCAAAAATAACTTGTAATAAATGATCATAAGTGTATTATTATTATATGAATATTACAGTGCTAGATCACAATAATCAGAGAAAAACATATACTCAAATTTTCTCTTTTTCAAAAATGCTGCTGACTCAGGCTGCAAGCCACAAGAAAAAGAACTATTTTAAAGCTAGCTTGTCTTGCACAGTCCTATCAGAGCAGGCCCTTAAATACTGAGATGTCTCAGCAAAAGTCACCAGAACAGCATTTTTACAATCTTTACTACTGTGGAATAAAACTGGAAAATTGCCAACTGAACCACTACCATCACTATAATGATGCTATAGGAAATTTATTATTTTTCTTTGTGAGCTTGTCTCCCTGAAAGAGTTCACAACGTAGGATCCACTCCTAGGACCACACCAGCATGTCTATCCACTTGCATACTGTAGTTTCTGGAACATTATGTGCATATGAACTTCATGGTTAATACTCAATTTTCCCCCAGCCCACAGCTAGAAAACAGAAAAAACAGGAGTTATCCCCTCTAACCCAACAATAACTAAACCTCTTACATTAATTGTCATAAGGCGCTGGTAGCGTACAGAGCTCATGTTCTTGAGCATATGACCTTCATCAAAAATTGCATAGTTAAGCTCCAACTTGCGAAACAGCCCTCGATCATCTGAGCTGCTTATTGCACAGTTGTATCTGTCAGAGAAAGACATCATAACTTTGCATTTAATGTGTCTTTTGACATGAACATACTGTTATCACAATCAAATTAAATTTTCTAAAATTGTTAAGCGTTAAGTAAAACCGCCTAGAAGTAACCAACCATAACAGAGTTTAGTACTGGCAAATAATTACAGTTTACTTGATGAATCAAGGCTCTCAGTAACACTTTCCAAAAAAGTGTGCAAATCTATTACAAAGTAATATGTATCTACTAGCATGTACTATGTAATTAATATATAATATCTAAAGCATCTATTACATAGTATCTGTTACACATTAATAAAACCCTAGTTAACCATTACCTGAAACCAAAAATAAGTTCCCTTCCCATCTCACTAAACTCCAAGTATTGTTTCGTTGTACCGCTAGAGGTCAGTAGGAGTTAACTACATCTCACTTATTAATTACTGTACTCACGTAGTTATAATCACATTGAAATCGACATCATTATTGTTAATGTCTGTCCTGAGTTGTTTCCTATCTTCTTGGGATCCTACAAAAGGACAAAACATAAAATGAGTACAACTATGTATATTTATATACATGCAAAAATTAAGACAGTACACAGAAACACATTCAGCAGTAAATATTTGTATTTAAACAACTGTCTTGAAACAATGCTTCCATAAACAATTCATCTTTTCTTCAGCTGACCATGCACGCGTCTGTATTATTTGATTAATTTCTAAATTAGATTCCTCACCATAGTAAAGAAGGATGTTCAGTTCAGGACACCACAGATTAACTTCTCTTATCCAGTTATCTGTAAGACACCATTAAAATAAAAAACAAGTCAGACTTTATTATGTCTTACAACTTCAGACACACGTCAGCATTATACCAAACATCTGATTTTAAAGGAAACACCTTTAAGTTCTCCTGAAGGTTAAGAAATTTTCTGTCTAAACACTGGAAAACAAATAATATTTAGGGAAAATAAACAACCCACAACTGGGCTTTAAGTAACTCTTGCTTAACCAGCTTGCACTTTGAACTCCTACAGAAACAGTCCCTGCATAGTCTGTAACCACTACGTAAAAATAATACCACACTGAACTTTTCAGCCTGGTTTCTTCCCTAGACAGTCAATTCCTCAGAAAGCAAATCACTTCGGGATGAGAGTACCAACGAACAAAGTGTTTCATCAGCAGAGACAGTGTCTCCGGGAGCAGGCAAGGAAACCAAACAACTCGACCCAGCTCCGCGTGTGCAGCCTGCAGAGTGGCCACCAGCAAGATGACCATGCCCAAGGGGAAGGTGCCTGACAGCCTACATAAATGCTGACCCCAAACCACAGTAGAAGGGGGTCTCTAGTAACTGCCACTTGACCCCAGCCAGACCCACACCAGGGCTGCAGAGATGCCTCCAGAAAACCATGAGGAAAGCTGCAGGTAGGTCACATTTCCCAGACATCCCCGTGCTGGATAGCTTGGGCCAACCTGCCATTACTATTCATGAGCCTCTACGACTCACTTCACAAAAGAACCTTCATTTACACCTTTATGTACACTTCAGGTTTAAGTAACATGCACTTCTAAGAGTTATTTAAAAAAATGGGTTCTAGTGGACTTTAAAAGCACACTGAATGTCGAATTGACATTGAACAACTGGAAGCTTTTCTGATTATTGAGATTTTTTTGAAGCCCAAATAAGTATTTTATATTAAAAGCAGCATTTTCTTTCTAAATTGAATTTGCTGCTTTCTCCTTTCTATAATCATTCAACAAAACCAGATTTAATTCCACAGAGAACCAGTTCCTGCTCAAACTCATGAGCTTTGCTGACTTTTTTATTCCACCATATTCTTCCTGCTTTCCTGTTTAATAAGGTCATTAAATAATCAAAGCACACAACTAAAAGACAGTCAGCCTTATTGTTTTAGGATTTTGATCTGCTTTGATAGATTTTGTGCAGCAAAGAGGAAAAAAGACACCGAATGTCTCAAATGCCATGAAACTTAGTCCTAAGCACAGCCTGAAGACTAGGAATTTCAGCCCATATTCAGTAAGTAAGAAGACTACTTTGCTAAACAAGTTCAAATTGTAACAAGCAGCTTTTTTTGTGAAGCGTACAGAGCATATTAAAAAAAAAATTCCATGTTAGGTCTAAATTAATTCAGAATAAGCATGCCTTCAGTATGGTTTGCGTTCCAACCCAAATTACTTAAGGAGTTGAATACCACCATAAGAAAATCAAGTTTTCTTTCCAAAATTATCTTTGTAACACAGTCTGTCCATGATTTTTTTTTAACAAACAAATAATTTTGATGCTTGTAACTTACCTAATATTGAAGCTGGCACAACTATCAAGTGGGGACCCGTATTGCTCTCTTGGTAGAGATAAGCTAGAAATGCAATTGCTTGAATTGTTTTTCCTAAGCCCTAAGAGAAAACAAATCCATTTAAACAAAATTTACAATCCATAGAACATAACAATGTTTTGTAATCATAAGACAATTACAGTGTAATCAATGTTGACTAAAGATTACAAATCTGCACAGAAAAATTGTTCTGTTTAACCGCATTGTTTTACAGAAGACAATTCCTTCTGAAGTACAGCACAGCCAAACTCAATTATCTTTTCAGCTCAACATTTGAGCATCAGGGATTAATCTTTTCCATTTATGAGGGTTTTCATTTTAGTTCAAGTTTACCCCTCAAATCTTCAAAAATTCACCTTCCCGAAACAATGCTGCAGACAATGATTATTTGCAAACTAATTAGTTTTTTCCATTTGAGCCAGTTGTACAAAGGATATTCCAGCTATTTCTGAAGTGGAATTTAATATGGAAATCAGATTTCTTTAAGATAAGCCTATGTTTCTGCCAACACTCACTTTCCTGTCTTCTGTATCATGGATTTAAAGATTTATCTTATCTACCACAAAATAAGCACATAAGGTAGTTCTTACAAATAGGAAACACATGGAAGTTGAGAAGCACTTCCTAAGCCTTGGTGAAGCAAATCCATCCCTTCACTCACAGTTTGTCACAAGAACAGCAGCCAGGATTAAAAGCAAGTGACAACACATTTAGCATTTAGCAGCTGCATCACTGAGTTTGTTCTCTTGTACAGTTACCAGTGGTGTTGGTGCCAAACAAAACCTCAAACCCATAAGCTTTTCTCTCATTTCAAAACTTATGGGTATAATGACACGAGATAGCTGAAATGCTGGAGAAGTAGAAAAGGTTTCTACCCAGTCAGCTTTTTCTGTATTGTTAACTGCCTGTTTTGAGACCAATGGAGAAACATGGGAGACTGGAGATCGCCACAACTAAAGGCTGGACAAGTAGAATGAATTACGTTTACAGGCAAGGCGCTATTAAAATGAATGGTTGTGGTAGAAACTGCTTCCATTGCATCAGAAGACACCATGTGACTTTTAATTACCCATGTCCAAGAATCTTTGTCTACCTTTGACTTTTAAACTGAAAGTAAGAGCTCAGCAGCTTCTAAGCATTTGGAGAAACTGCAATTCAAGTTACATTAGCTAAAACAAATTACTTACAATCTGCTTGGGGATTCTAAGAAATTAAAAATTTTAACAAAGCCATTTTTAATGATTCTTAAACAATCAGTTTCACACGTACCATTTCATCAGCCAATATGCCATTCAATCCGTGTTTATGCAGCAGTGCTAACCAGTTCAAACCGATCTTCTGATATGGCTTGAGTTCCATACTGTTAAGTAATCAAACTTAACATGTTACTATCTTTTATTTGTTTCTCCATGAAACATAACTCTACACTTATTTAAGTCACAGAATGGCAAGTTTAACATTGCCTATATTTTAATGCACCCCAGATCTCATCATGTAGTAAAACCCACAAACTTTATTTAATCAGTCACCTGAATACCAAACAGCATTTCTGACTTTTCACGTAGTTTATCTTTTCATACATCTTAAATGATCAAAACAAATGTTATAATAAATAATTGTCTTCTAAGACCAGTGATTCACAACCAGTTAAAAGGAGTTACACAACTGCTAACTTTTAAAATACACAAAAAAATTTAGCAGCTGCATCACTAAGTTTGCCCTGTTGTACAGTTATTGATGGTGTTGGCACCAAAAAAACCAAACACACACACACAACCCACAGAACACACTCAACAGTAACTCACCTAGTTCAGCACTTTTTCCCAAAGAAAAAATATCACTAATAAGCTCCCTCCAAACAGTTCTCTTATGTCAGGTTTTATTTTGACACAGCTCAAAATCCTTTTGCTATTTACGAGGAACAGCCTCCAAGCCTAACTCAGGTTGCTCCTCCAATCATTCCCACTAAACCTCTATGCTTCCTAACCCTTAGGATAATGCCTCCCACCATACCCATCTCCCTTCCTCCTAAGCTCTCTCTTTATTCCTGTCCTAGGTTACAGTGTAAGATGTG